CCCCTCCCCCTCTCCCTTATCTACAACTCAACAGTGAGCTTCGTCCCCTCCGGAGCGTTAAACTTGGAGATGTTTTGTAACCCATGATGAGCCAATCGTTTGGTAGGGATTAGCGAAAAGGCCTTTGGGAACTCCTGCCTAGTCTCTTTTGTTGCGCTAGTACATTTAAGGGCCACTTGGCTGGATTGGGACTCACACTCTCTCCTGAAAAAATTATCAAAAAATTGTGAATGGATTGTTTGATACTACTTAACCCTCCCCATTGTTGTGATGAATTGTTGCTTTCATGTGTTGTTTGCTCCCTGTTGTTTTTTATAGAAGTTGCTCTGTTGTTTTTTATAGAAGTTGCTTGTTGCTTCCGTGATTGCGTCGCACTGATAAGGAGGCCGCAATTTTTGTCTTGGGAATCGTTGTCATTTGTTCCGTCTTGTTCGCCTACCTAGCTTTCATCGCATATTTCGAGAGTGAATGTGTCAAGGCGCTTCACGGTCTGCTATCGGAACACTCGAATCGATCGTTAGGAGCTGTTGCTAGACCAAGGTGTCCTATCGCGTGAACATGGCAATGATTCGGTGGCCTCGTCGACTAGTTGCATTTATTGCCATAAGTGCTATGATCCTCGCTTCGATCGTAGTAATCATGCTAGCCTGGTTATTGATCGATGATGAAGGGGAAGTGTGTACGGCTGATGCTTCTCGACGGGTTTATAGCGACGATCCCAAGTTCTTTCTTACTCTTGCGATCTTGCATCTCTCGTTCTTATCTACGATTGTATTTTTGTTCTTCATGAGGGACATGCGTCATTTTTGCTGCTTCTGCCATGGGTGTTTTGCGTATTTGGATCGTGATCCTTAGAACTCAGCTTTTCCTTAATTCCCTCTTTTTGCCTCTTGGTCTGATATAGAAAGCTCCCTGGATATGTTATCAGGTCATCGTGCAGCTTCATCGGACCTCATATGTAGACCTTTCAAAGTTGGTGTGTTCTTCCTCTATGAGGAATAAACTCTGGGAGTAGGATTGCTGCCTAAGTTAATTAGGACTGGATAGTCTCGCTCTCTCTCTCTCTCTCCCCCGCCCCACCTCTCTATCTCCCTCTCTCTCTCTCTCTCTCCCCCTTTTTTTTTCCTCTCTCTCTCTCTCTCTCTCTCTCTCTCTCTCTCTCTCTCTCT